ATATTTGCCTACATCTCCGCTATTTATTCCTACATTTGTCCTACATCTCTACTAATTATTCCTACATTTGTTCTACTTCTCTACTATTTATTCCTACATTTGCCCTACTTCTCTACTATTTATTCCTACATTCGCCTTACATCTCGACTATTTATTCCTATATTTGCCCTACTTCTCTACTATTTATTCCTACATTCTCCCTACTTCTCTACTATTTATTCCTACATTTGCCTACATCTCTGCTATTTATTCCTACATTCGCCTTACATCTCGACTATTTATTCCTACATTTGCTCTACTTCTCTACTATTTATTCCTACATTCTCCCTACATCTCTACTATTCATTCCTACATTTATACTACATCTCTACTATTTATTCCCACATTTGCCTACTTCTCTACTATTTACTCCTACATTTGTTCTACTTCCTTGCCATTTATTTACACGCTTGACTAATCAAACAGGTCAGTAAACTCCTGGGGAAGAAATCTGCATTTAAATTATCTATGTCGTCTATGAGAACAGTTCCGTAAATAACTATTTTTCCTCTAAATTGTCTATGTCATCTAAGACAACATTTCTGTAAATAACTATTTCTTTTTTTAAATTATCTATGTCATCTATGACAACAGTTCTGTAAATAACTATCTTCATGAACATAATTCCATATATTTTTCATTCCGATAGTTATAGTTAGAGTATCAAGACTTTTTAAACTAATTTAATTCGTAGTAAATATTTAACTAAGCGATTAACTATGAGAACTAAAAGTATTATTGACACTGTCAAGATGTTAACAGAAAGTAGACTGTACAGCTACTATATGCACAAAAATTATCAAGCTGCGATAGTGTTAGCTTTGCATATTTATTTCTTGAACTTTTCCTATAATAAATTATACATGGGCATATGTACTACAGGAATGTAATAATGTTATAATGCCAGACAATAGAAGCCCAATTTTCATATTTTGAGAAATATTCATATTTTTCATATTTTCATATTTTTCATATTTTTTTAGTATCAGTCTGTTTGCTGGAATTATTGACGTAAATTGCATAATGGTATTTCTTTTTTTAACTAAGCATTGCGCTTATCAGATCAGGACTTCTTACAGTTGAGTGAGAGAAAAAAACTAGCGAGGCTGAAAGTTTTCAGATCATAATTCGTATAAAGTTTATTCACCACATAACTTCATTAATCTATTGAACTAAATTGCTAAATGAAGATGATTGATTTCATAATAGCGATTCTCAGTATGTTGTAAATTGGGCATTTCTTTTAAGATGAGAGGAAATTCACCAGCTGGGGTTCCCTACATTTAAATACATTTTATGAAATGTATGATTATTAGAACATGTATATTAACTGTCATTGCATTCGTGTTCATAATGAGTCTGTACATCAGCAGACATATTATTCATATTTTGCTCACTGGACATATGTGTCACAAATTCGGAACTTAGAATGCTAAGATTCATGCGTGAAACATTCTGACAAAGAACCCTAGACTTTGGTATAAATTTCACTCCGACGGTCAATCTAATCAGATTCCTACGAAAAATAATTCGTGGAAAATGCTTTAAAATGACGACATAAAATGATGATTCTCACAAAATCTAAGTTAGTGCTAATTATTCCAATACTCCTTATCAAGATCTTACCTCTGTTTCATCACTTGAGCACCACAGCATTTCTTCAGATTACAAATTAACTTGGATGGGCGTTTTGATGTCGCATTATTTCGTCGCTGGTTGTGAAGAATTTCTTGAATTTCAAAATTTCAAATCAATGAACACTGTTAAAATTTCTGTTAGCACAAATAGCTCTTGCGTCTTCCCACATAATTCACAAACTTACGGGAATTTTTCAGTGAACGATTAAATTTATTTGTGCATTCATCCATTCCTCTTCTTTATTATATCCGGTTATTTCTCTTCGCTTTTTAAATCGCAAATTTCATCGAAGGCGAAAATAAAACAAATGAATATTTCTGTTGTAAATGCATTTATTTCCTACACCATTATTGCATCGGCATGTTACAGGCTATGTACAGTATTTGGAACCAAAGTTTTTTTACATGTTTTCAAGTATACACATCACTTAGTACTCGCCTTTATACTCTCTTCGTATCTACTAGCACCGAAATAACTTGAATCATTGGCTAGCACGATGACGTTTCCTAGTGAAGGTTTAGGTCTCGAACTTAGTAAGTTGTCGACGGTGAAGGCGGAAGAATATTGCGTGGGCCTTCGATGATTTTCCGAAGCTAAAATACTGTTCAATAATCTATCATGATTGCTCAGTCTCAAGTGTGACACTTGATTCAAATCTGCACTAATCGGTAGAGTTCCCATGGAAGAGTTGTGGATAGCTGGAGGAAGTTGTCCACTATGATCTATCCCGTGACCAACAGAAGGAATAGATGTTCCGTACGAATTTCCACCGCCAGAAAGACCAAACTGTCGTGCGAAATTCTCTAGACTGTTGGGCCCGATTGCAAAGTGCGGAGAATGGCCCGTGGGTGGAATTCCGGAGGTTCCCGTGGACGGCATTGCAGGGGAACCTGTTGGTGGGGTCCCGTGAACAGCGGGCAACCCGTAGGCCATGGCAATCTGGTGGGGCGGTGGCAACCCCAGTTGGTGGTGGGCTCTAGAAATATGAGCACTTCTGTAATATGCAGCAGTTGCTGCCGCAGCAGCAGCGGCCGCTGCCAACGACGGGGCAGGAGACGAGTGAGGGTACAAATACGGTCCAAAAACTCCCCCTAGAAAACAATGTCTCAAAGATGATATTCTATTCCGCGAGGAAGGTGTCGACCTTCTTCTAAGTTTGCCGGTTGTGTTACCGATGAAGACGTCATCAGCCGATGGATCGAGCATCCAGTAGTTTCCTTTGCCGGGGTCATCGTAGTGTCTGGGGACTTTAACGAAGCATTTGTTTAGGCTCAGGTTGTGGCGGATCGAGTTCTGCCAGCCTTGTCTGTTGTCGCGGTAGTAAGGGAAGTTCGTCATGATGAAGTCGTAGATGCCGCTTAGCGTCAGCCGTTTCTCCGGGGACGACCGGATCGCCATCATGATCAGGGCGTTGTAGCTGTAGTGTGGCTTCTTGTGGGAACCTTTATTTCCTCCTCCTTCCCCACCGCCATTCGCGTCCTCCTCCCCATCGTTACCAGGATCAAGACCTTCCCCGTGATCCTCAACTCGATCGTCACCCAAATCAACTTCATCTTCAATTTCTTCGGGCACTTCATCATCGGGCTGCAGAAGCGTCTGATCACGGGAATTTTCTTCACTATTCTGTACCTCTTCTAAGTCTGAATGTTCCTTTTTCAATTTCATCGCAAGCGAAAATTCTGGCATAGTCGAGTCGGGAAGATCCGGCATAGTCGGCCTCAGTATGGAATTGATCGTGAAGTTCCTGGGCATGGGAGCAGCGGCGCACTGCATGGTGACTAAAACTCCGTACGTCGATAGAAACTCGATAACAATTTCACAAAATAATTATCACAATATAGACACGAATGTAGAATGTTTCGTTGACTTCACTTAGGCACTACAAATGTGCGTCTATGTTTCTTAAAAAAATATCAGAAGTTACAGCAACGCAACGCAATCTTATGGACTCAGTTCCAAAGCACGCACATATCCACTCTACGAGAACTGATTTGCTACTAACATGTCTCATTGTATCGCCCAAATAAATGTATCACATCCTTCACGATGCACCAATGCCATGCATTCGTTGCCTAAGTCCCTCCTATCGCAGGTAACAAGACCTTCCCTTCCAATGGTAAGGTCGGACGAGTGAGGCGGTGCCGAAGGTTCTACTTCATTAAAACCAACGCACGCCATTGGTAAAGGGCCTTCAGGTGGGGCTGTTCCCTGGTGTTCGACTCACAGTCGCCTGTCGTACGGTCGATTTTTAAGTCAGAATTTCTGTAATGACGTTAATTGCGGCTGATTACGCCAGACAAACCTGCCATGACAAATACGAGACAGTCACGCGCGCCTCTGTGAGGCAGCCAATATTTTCTGATATTCTGGGGCTCGGTAAACACGGTCGCGCAGACGGCTAAGTGAGAGGCGCTCGCCTGCCAGTGACTTAGAGGCAGACATATTTAAGAGGCAGACCTGCGGGTGACTAAGAGGCAAATCTGTTGGTGAATAGGAGGCATTCTTATTTAAGAGGCAGACCAGCGGATGATTAAAGGCAGAGTTATTCAGGAGTGCGACTCAGTCTAGACGAAGACATGCAATTACGACTCTATATGAGCCAGATCCTGCGACTGTATAAGTGGTAGTTAGGAGAATACCTCAAAATTTAATGCAAGGATAGTTGTTGCTGCCTAACCTGTAAACGTCAACTGTGTTCATGAGCGCGGCTAACGTCAAACAAGGCAATTATTTTATGGTGCAAATAACTGGCTTAACATAAATTCCAATCATATCATAAATTCCAGTTGTGGCGTAATCATGACGTCAGTAGATTTGCGTTTACGTTTCAGGTTGTAGCGTCAAAGTTTGCAGAAGCTGGGAATATTGTTGAAATTAAGGTTGATGAGACTAATAAAACTAAACAATTTGAAAAAAAATGTGAGGAAAAAAGGAAAATAAATAAAAGTAACGAATGTCCAGGAAAAAAAATTCGATACGAAAGACAACCGTTAGCAATCAACTACCCAATTCAATACGATGAACGCTTACAAACAATTACTATATTAAAGTTGAATTGTAATTAAGCAAGTCTAACGTACTCTAATTGAAAACATGGTCAAATTAAACGTTGACAAGCGATGAACTTAAATTAAGCGTTAACAAGCAATGAACAAATTAAGCGTTAACAAGCAGTGAACAAATTAAGCGTTAACAAGCAATAAACAAATTAAGAGTTAACATGCAATGAATATATTCAGCGTTGACCAGCAATGAACAAATTAAGAGTTAGCAAGCAATATACAAATTAAGCGTTGACAAGCAATGAACGAATTAGGCGTTAACAAGCAATGAATAAATTAAGAGTTAACAAGCAATGAATAAATTAAGAGTTAACATGCAATGAACAAATTAAGAGTTAACAAGCAATGAACTAATTAAGTGTTAACAAGCAAAATTAATGAACAAATTAAGAGTTAACAAGCAACGAACATATATATAAACGTTAACAAGCAATGAACAAATTCAGCGTTAACAAGCAATGAACAAATAAGGCGTCGACAAGCATTGAACAAAATAAACGGTTACAAGTAATATATATAATACATGCTATACAATATACTTGTTATACATGTAATACAATTATCTGATACAGTAACAAATAATATAAATATTAGCTTACTTTAGGATGGGAACGACAAATTAAATGCGATAAAGTAACATTACGTCAACCGACGCTGGCGACAGCAGGGTGCTGTTGCCGTGACTGTAACAAATAATATAAATATTTGCTTATTTTAGGATGGGAACAACAAATGAAATGCGATAAAGCAACATTACGTCAAACGACGCTGGCGACAGCAGGGTGCTGTTGCCGTGACTGTAACAAATAATATAAATATTAGCTTACTTTAGGATGGGAACTACAAATGAAATGCGATAAAGTAACATTACGTCAAACGACGCTGGCGACAGCAGGGTGCTGTTGCCGTGACTGTACGCGGGTTTAGCGCAATTGTGCTGTGGCCGGGAGGCAGTGAAGTCATTGTTAAGTCAACAACTAGGATAACAATGAGGCTATAGACTAGTAACCGGCGCCTAGTTAGCACCTTTACCTGCGTAGCTGTACTGTGAAGTCGCGATCCTCTCACACAAGCTGTTCCACATAAACTTTGCTCGCACAATTCGCTTGTCACTTCCCAATTTCGAGTTGCCAATTCGCATGTCAGTTCCCAATTTCGATCGTTGCCAATTCGCATGTCGCTTTCCAATTTCGAGTTGTCAATTCGTATGTAACTTCACAATTTCGCGTTGCCAATTCACATGTCGCTTTCCAATTTCGAGTTGTCAATTCGTATGTAACTNAATTTCGAGTTGCCAATTCGCATGTCAGTTCCCAATTTCGAGTTGCCAGTTCACATGTCGCTTCCAATTTCGAGTTACCAGTTCACATGTCGCATTCAATTTCGAGTTGCCAATTCGCATGTCTGTCACAAGTTTCGAATTGCCAGTGGAAAATAAATTGGTGAGAAACACACAGAGAAATACGTGTAATATTTGCCCAAATAGCGATGCACATTTATCGCCTGTGTAGGTCACTCTGACCCAGTACGTGCAGTAAGTGTGTCACTATTTGAACAATAATACCATTTATTTTCTGAGTAACATAGCATGCAGCCACGTGCGTACGTGAGCCTGTCACCGCACCGCGGTGAAACTGCAGCAAGTATAACAGCGAAAATAGTGAAAATAATAATAGCAGCAAATATTACAATAACAACGAATAGAGAAACGAATGTGACAAAAAAACTAATGTAACAATAACAGCGAATACAAGAATATGAACGAATATATTAATAACAACGAATAAAACAATAACAGCGTGTATAAAAATAACAACGAATATAACACTAACAGCGAATTTAACAATAACAACGAATATAACAATAACAACAAATATTATACAATAACAACAAAAATAACAGCGAATATAACAATAACAACATCTATAACATTAACAGCGAATACAACAATAACAACGAATATAACAATAACAACAAATACAACAATAACAGCGAACATAACAATAACATCATATATTATACAATAACAACGAAAATAACAATAACAACATCTATAACATTAACAGCGAATACAACAATAACAACGAATAAAACAATAACATCATATATAACAATAACATCATATACAACAAAAACATCAAATATAACAATATTATCTATACAACAATAACAGCATATAACAATAACAGCATATATAACAATAACATCATATATAACAATAACATCATATATAACAATAACAGCATATACAACAATAACAGCATATATAACACTAATATCATATATAACAATAACATCATATATAACAATAACAGCATATATAACAATAACAGCATATATAACACTAATATCATATATAACAATAACATCATATATAACAATAACATCATATATAACAATAACATCATATATAACAATAACATCATATATAACACTAACAGCATATATAACACTAACGTCATATATAACAATAACATCACATATAACAATAACGTCATATTTAACAATAACATCATATATAACACTAACAGCATATATAACAATAACGTCATATATAACAATAACATCATATATAACACTAACAGCATATATAAGGCCGAACATCAGAGCGGAAGTCCATGTAACGGGAAACTGAATCTCTGACAAACTGCCTCACGCCTCGCCACCTCCGGCGCTTCCGCCTCCTTTTTAGCGCATTTTATCATTTATGAAAAAAATGCAATATTGTGCTCGCCATGTCCGTCTGTCCGTCCGTCTGTCTGTCTGTCCGTCCGTGACTTCACGTTTTCGTCGACGAGAAAATGCGCTCTGTCACTCACTGCAGTGAGTACTGAGTTATATTTTAGATGTGTATAAGAGACAGACATATAAAGCATGTTTTCAGGGTCCAGTAATATAGGGCTATTCAATATAAAAATACGTTCTCAATATACTCGAACGTTATTCTATTGTCTTATTCAACGTATGCAACTATAGTGGCATTTCCCAGGAATGAATAAGCTGGTCGTAACAACCGTTTATATCTCCCATTGTAGACTATGCTACATTTAATTCATAGTCTGTGAGACAAATAATAATTATTCATAGTATATTAGATAAATAATTATTCCTGGTCTATGAGAGAAATAATTATTCTTTGTAAGCTAAACTGGAAACGAAATATAGAGTTTCTGTTTTTGCCATAACCTGTTAAATTAACCTACAACATTTTCCTATTCATGCATATTTTAGCCACCACTCACGTATNCTCGCGTAGAGTCCCGGATCAGAGTCTCGCGTAGAGTCCCGGATCAGAGTCTCGCGTCAAGCGCTGGATCAGAGTCTCGCGTCGAGCGCTGGATCAGAGTCTCGCGTCGAGTCCCAGATCAGAGTCTCGCGTAGAGTCCCGGATCAGAGTCTCGCGTCGAGTCCCGGATCAGAGTCTCGCGTCGAGCGCCGGATCAGAGTCTCGCGTCAAGTCTCGGATCAGAGTCTCGCGTCGAGTCCCGAATCAGAGTCTCGCGTAGAGTCCCGGATCAGAGTCTCGCGTAGAGTCCCGGATCAGAGTCTCGCGTAGAGTCCCGGATCAGAGTCTCGCGTCGAGTCCCGGATCAGAGTCTCGTATTACCTCGTCGTCTCGATGTCCGTGGATCACATTTAACCCATATCACCGAGTTTAAAGTCCCAAGATTTTTTTTTAACTTACGACAATAACGTAAGTCAACAATGCCTTTATTGTGTCCAAGGTGAGGCTAAACAATGCGCAAAATTTCTAGAGCTGTTCAACATGAAATCTTTTCAAATACACTATTTAGGTATTGAATTTCTCTCATTTTATATCATTCCTTTGTAAACAATGGCTTTTCTATTGTGTTTCGGAGAACACTATATACAATGAGCGAAAGTTTAAACCTGTTATTACCATAACCGGGCTTTAAAGGTCCATTTTGGTGTT